CTAGACACGAAATAAAGAAGGGAGAGCAGATTGGAGCAGAAAAGGCTTGAGTTTTCGGTGATTTTGAGGAAGAGAGAGAGAATTTTCATCTTTCGTAAACAACGTTTGGTGAATCCTAGAGATCTAAGCTCAGACTTGATCTTTGGAAGAACGAACATCTTACATCGATAAGATATTCGTTTTCAAATCTTTACTTCGATAAACGAAGGAGAGATCCCTAAACAACCTCATGATCTACGAATCGGTGGTCCACGAACTAAAGTGTTCCCGGCACAGGCAAAGTCCCACAAAAACAGTAGTTGATAAACAACTCCTGTGTTATTTTCGCACAGGCAAAGTCCCACAAAAACAGTAGTTGATAAACAACTCCTGTGTTATTTTCTCGAGAGTTGTATTTTCTTTTATTTTTATTGTAATTTCTTGTAAACACATCAAAGTTTAATGGAATCTGCAATGGAAACGACTTTCACTGAAAACAGTGGTCAGGCGCGAGATGAGAGCCGGGAGGGAGCAGCGAGGCTAGGTAGTCAACACCAGCCTTGAAAGCCAAGGCCACCTTAGTTTTTCCCAAGAGGCCCTGACACCAGCCGTCGATCACTTTCGCCCGGTACTGCTTCGTGTCTAGGCGAGGGAGCCAATCCTCTAGGTCCTTGACTATTTTCACAGACACCTAATGGGTCGATCAATCCTTCTCGAGGTCTTACCTTAGTTGCTCGATTGAAAGATGACTCGATCAAGCCTCTTCCTTGGCGGTCGCTTTGAGGAGCCTCTCGAACTCGATCTCTCCCTCTAGAGAAGCAAGGTGGCCTTCCCACTTAGAGAGTCCTTCCTACAGATGGCCAACCTCTTCCTGCAGCTGGGCCACCTCTCTTTGGAGCTCCTCGATGGAAGCCACCTGCTTGGCACCATGGGTTCTGAACCCCCTTAGCTATCTTTCCTTTTCATCCAACTCTTGATACCAGGTGGCCTCGTTGCTACTTAACTCAGCCTCCAAGGCCGCAGCCCTCTTCTCTGCTTCCTCCTGACCGACCTCTCCTTGGCGAAGTCCTCATGTGAGCGAGCCGGTCAAACAGCTCCGCCCCCACCAATGCACCCTGGACCAAGTAGGCCTTAAGGGCCAAATGCAAACTAACACATTAGCAACCGAAAAGACCAAGTAGTCAAGTAGATAGTCGATTCGACGAGAGGCAACGTATGCCTTGATCTGGTCAAGCGCATTCCTCTCGGCGTTGAGCAACTCACTCTCCATGAACGCCTCCCTCCTTATTTCGGGCTAGTTCGAGCAGCCTAACTCCAGGCCGTCCCCCACGACCCAGTTGTATTTCTCCTTCTAGTCATTGTGTGAGTCAGGAAGGCTGATGATGAGCCTAAACTTCCCCACCATTTGAAAATGGAAGTAGGGTTTAGTCTAGTTCACCTTCACAGTCACCAGCCGGCCCAAAACCCGCAAGGATAGCTTTATCGCCAACCACTGGTAGATCACCACGAACCCCACCAAGATGGCGATGGCATTCGGTTTCATCTGCGCTGGTGATACCCCTATCACCATGAACACTTGATGGAGGAAAGGTTGCAGGGGCATCCACAGACCACACTCTAAATGCCTCAGGTAGAGCGGATCCCGATCCAACACATGTTCATATATGGCCTTCGACCTCATCGGGGCCATCAGCCCATATTCCTGGGGGATATCAAATCTCCTATGGAGTGTCCTCATCTATGATTGGGTCACCTTAGAATGGATTTCCGCTAGAAGAGCACATCAATCTACAGGCTCTGATGCCATAGCAGTAATGGAGAACAGATCGCCGGAAGAGATGGATGAAAAAAATCTTGAGTTCTCTTAAGGGAATTTTAAAAGATAATAGCTACCATCTTCATGGCCCAGGTTCTATATATAGGAAGCTAACTTTACAACTGTCAAAAATCTGAACCGTCGGATCCAGCTCTGGCCAATGACCCAGATTAAGTATCGAAATATGAAGTGGCATCTCAGAGATCGAGGCACAACCCACTCACCTCGAATAGTCCGTGATCTGCCAAGAAAAGAGGAGCTATGGAGGTTAAAAAGAATGTGCAGTGACGTCAACCATGCTAATCTGAAGAGACTTTTTAGTTCACTCATTTAATGCACACCCACGTCCATCCAAGACGACTCTCATTTCACTCGGACCCGGTTCAAGCCAACTTCAAGCGAAAGGGGCCAACTGTTATGGTGTTTTTAATCACCAAAGTGCAGCCCTTTGCCAAGCAATGGACATGTGTACTTCTGCATGCAATGACCTAATCAAATTGGTGGCCCAAGACCAACAAGGATTCTAACTTAGCCAACTTGCCGAGTCGACATTCCTTCATGTCGACTCGAATGGCGGAACTTGTCGGCCCTCTTGTCGAAGACGACGCGCTACGAGCCCACTCGACCTGCTATTCAATCCCTCACAATGACGACCCGAAAGGCGTTACTTCTCGGTGAAGCTAGTGAACGACTTCAGCCTGGAGCCTTCCCCGCTAATACAACGTCGACGTCGCATTTAATGTTTGGCAGGCGCCATCATACCTCTAGCCCCGATAGTCTTCATAACTCATCGCACCACGTCGGCACTGTCATGCTTTCGATCACTTCTCATTTAATGAGGAAGTGATCTCTCCCCCAGTCTCCAGCCGACAAATGTAAAGCAAGAGCTAACTCAGCTGCCAGCCCATGCTTCTTCACCACCATCGATCTTGTGCTCAGCCATAATGACGGTTCTATCCTTATATCATCGGTATAAATAAGAGGTACTATTCTAACAGAAAAGGACTTTTTCTTCTAGTTTTCTTCTTTGACTTCTGCAAATTATACTGCACTACACACAAGAACTCTGACAGTTCACTTTTCCCACTCAAGTTCATCAGCTGACTTGATCGTCAGAGGAACCACGGAGGAACCAGTCCACGTCCTCTCACGAGTTTCTATTTGTGTAGGCTTCAGCCACTCAACTCAGAACTAGATATTCGAGGAAGGAAGCGGCCCCTCATCAATATCAGACCCATCCAACCATTTTAATTGACTGTGTGATCATTTAACATCAACACTAATTTATAATTGCAATGTAAATATTATCAATAAAATAGTTAAATAGCACTAAGTTGATGATTTGTTGATTTTAGGGGTATTTTTTCACAAAAGTGATAATATAAGAGGTAGTTTTGCAAATACTAAGATTTGTAGAGTAGTTTTGCAAATGTATATGATTTAAGGGGTATATGTGTAAATAATCTTTAACTGTAATGCGGTTCATGACAGAGTAAACATTTTGCTTTCGGATCTCTTCCCATCAAGAGTTTTATTCTTTTCAACATTGAACCTCCAACCACAGGGGCAAAAAATGTATAGCTATATAGTACCAAAAACTTTGAGGGGTGTCCAATAGTTTGAAGGTAACTTTCCATTTACAAAAGAAATACTAGGGATATATTGATAGTTCTTTGATTGCCTTATCAAGAAAAATTAAGGAAGAAAGTACCCCCAAGCCCCTCCCCCGGCACCCTTCCCTCACCGAAAAAAAAAAACATGTGAACGGATTCCATTTCCTCTCACCTATTGATACGTTTTTATGGTTAACTTCTTAGAAACTTTTATCTGCAATAATCTTCAACACAATTCCTTTCTCACTATTTCCCTTGTTTATATGCAGTATGAACTTAATGTTTTCATGTCAGCCCTTTAACATTAAAAATTGCCACATCATACAAGTAAAGAATTATGAACATAATATTAAAAGTCTTGAAAGCTTAGGATAATCTCTAATCTTTTAAATGTACTAGAGGAAAACCGCAAAATTGCAAGTATAAAAATGTCTTCATTTAAAAAACTCTGAGAAATTATTGCCAATATTTGGTTAAAAAAAAGAATATTATTCTTCTATCTTCACAAAAAAGTATCACAAAGGCTTTTTTTAATGGGTTTTGCTAACCATTGCCCTTAGGACTAATTATACATGTAGTTTATTATACTACAAGAATTCTATTTGAAAAACAAACTTTGGTTCTCATCGCAATTAATAAAAAAATGTTAATCAAAACTTTAATTTTCAATTCTCTTTTGATATAAAAATTAGAAAAATAAGTTGTAATATTTTGCACATGCATTTGCATGTGAAAAGCTGCTAGTATGGTTTTGACTTCGATTTTGAGGGGGATAAGCGTATAGGTTTGAAACCTTCAATAAACCCCCAATTACTATGGGAATTCTAGAAAACCTCCAAAAACATTTTGGTTTAGTAATATTCTCTATTTGGGGATCAAGATATGGGCCTAGGTCGTTACTTGTGTTAAGTGAAAATTATCAAATTTTGGTGGTTTTCTAGAATTCCAAAACTTTTTTTTTTTTTTCAGGGATAAAGTGCCAAAGGTCCAATTTTATTAGGGGTTTAGTGAAATTTACCCAGAACTTTATCTCCTTTAAGCAAGAACAATGGATTCTTAGTTCCTCCTTCTAATTTTTTTTCTTAACTTCATTGTGCCCTAAACGTTTTTGTCCTTAAATTAAATGTGCCCATTTTTATGCTAGACATATTCATTTCACTGCTAGACAATGGGGTTTTGCCTACGGAAATATAGCGATAGATATTCCCGTCGCTATAACATGACTTATAGCGACGGAAATATATGTCGCTATATTTCCGTCCGCAAAAAGTTTTTGCCGACGGAAAAATTTGTATTAGCGACGGAAATTTTCTGTCGCTTTAATTTTACCGACGGTTTTTCGCTAAAAGTAATTTTAGGTACCCTCAATGTACGGACGGTATTTTAGCGACGAAATTTTATTTTTTCCGTCGCTAAAAATTTTAGCGACGGATTTGTCCGTGGCTAAAAATCTTGTTTCTAGTAGTGTTTGCCTTGAATTTTCTTCGATTTATCTAAAATAAAAATATATAAAAAGAAATAAACTTTTCAAGCAACCTCGCTAGTCGCTAAAGATGATCCGTTGCATGCATGTCAGATGAGCTATACATACTGAATTATTTCCCATAGTGAAAGCTAGTTTATGAAATGGGCACATTTTCTATCCTTCTCTCCTTCTGGAATCATTGTGAAGAAAGTCTATCCACTGCGTGCAACTGATGAGCTTCGGACCTGGGGTTTGCAGTGCTGATGACATTAAAGATGTTGGGGTTTCGCGGCTATCGATCACCGGGTTAACTCTAAGTACATCAACCATTCCATCTTCCTTCATCATCACCATATTGCAAGGGATTCTCCTTTTGTAGAAGGATCTTCTCTTCCTTTGATATCTATGTGAGAGAAAAACATGTCGAAGTTAAGCATATTATATTTTTCTCATGAGTTTAGTAGTTATACACACTGATATGTATATACATGTATATGTATGCATGCATGCACGTACCTGTCAAAGACAATCCATGATGCATGCAGATTTGTTGTTTGCTCCAAAACCATCAGTTTTACAGGATAGCCCATGACAACCTTCATTAGAAGCACAACCTACAATTTCTCGATGTATTAGCTAGGAAATGCATTAATCATATGATCCAATAATTAACACAAGTGATGCTAAAAGTGTTGATTTCAATATACATTCATCTTTAAATGTGCAAACTAATAGGCATGTGCAAATTTTATATTAATGATGTAACCTATATCTACTTGGTACTCATTGAGTTGTTTCTTTTGTTAGTATTTGTTTGTAAAAACAAGATAGTCGACGATCGGATATTTGAGCATTGTTTTAGAGGTTTAAAAATATTTAATAATTATTGGGCTTTGATAAATGGATCGAAGCATAGACCTCTAAACCCGCGTGCATGTAGCGCGAATAATGTGTGATTTTGACACATTATTTATTTATTATTTTTGTAGTTATTTTAAAATTTTGAATTTATCAAAATATTAACAGACTGGTGACTATTTGGAGTTATGGCTATTTTTTTACTTTTGGAAAATAACTGATTCTTCCAAGAGGTGTTTTAAAAAGTTATGATTGTTGGAAATATTTTTTCAAACTGTAAATAGCCTATGATTTCATATATCAGTACTCACTTCTTTTCTCAGAAGTTTCTCTAAAAAAATATGCAATCCTACAAACTTATTTCGCAAAGAATTGGTGTAAAATTTCAGATTTGTTTGCTGGAATTTTTAATTTTCTATTGTACCATAGCAAGAAAATTTTCATTGACCTGAAGCAAACTCGAATTATCAAGTAGGGCAAATATTCTTTAAGGAAAGTATTTCACGCCTCAGAAATTCTATCTCTTCATTATTTTTATTAACAATCTTAAAAAAATATATCTGCTGCAATGGAGTCAGAATCAATAAAGGTGATGAATTAAGACAGGGTCAAATTGGATCGATTCGACGCAAACAGTTTCTCTCGCTAGCAAGACAAGATGGTGTTTCTTCTTACAACATTGAAGATTTCCTACATCCTCAATCCCAACCTGTAGTCTATAGAATATCCAAAACTAAGTGCTGACAAGAAACAACCCCTTGAGGAGGAAATAGAAGAAATCAAGAAGCAAAAGTCAAAACGAAAGGAAGATGAAGTGCTATGTCGCGGACATATTTGAACACATTCTCGGACCGATTGTATGATATTTTTATTAGAATAAAGTCGGCAATGAAAATTGGAACGCACTAGAATTTAACTACAAAGCCGAGAAGGAAGGTACCACTAATTATTTAATTATAAAATATTTAGAATATAAAATGGTTGATGATAAATCTGTCTTGGAGCAAGTTCATGAATTCGAGGTTCACGTCAATAAGATTCATGTTCTCAAAATAGTTCTTTCCGAATCTTTTCAAGTTGCTATAGTTATTGCAAAGCTACCCACAACTTGGAAAGATTATGCAAAGAAATTAATGCATAAAATCGAGGATATCTCTTTAGAACAACTTCTAAAAAATCTTCGAATTGAAGAGAAGTCACACTTACGTGATTCGAAAAATTCTGCCCATAGTGATTCTAAGGTCCACATAGTGGAAAAGAATAAATCTTCAGTGAAAAATGTGAACCTTTAAGAAAAGTAAAATGGACAATATATACTTCAAAAAGAAATATTTTCGGAAGAGAATGAGGTCCTATTTTATTTGTGATAAGCCTAGACATTTCGCTAAAGAATGTCGTCACAGAAAAAATAATAATGCGAAATCAAAGGATTCTACAAATATGATAAAAGAGAATCTGGTTGCTATGATTTCTATTAAGTCCGGATGGTGGGTTGATTCTGGTGCAACTATCCGTGTTTGTAAAGACAAATTTATGTTTAAAGGATTTTCAAAAATTACAGAAGTGCAAATGGGGAACAATGCTTGTGCAAAAGTTGATGGAAAAGGGACTGTTGATATAGATTTTACTTCCATAAAGAGATTGACTCTTATGAATGTTCTGTACGTACCCAAAATTAAAAAGAATTTAGTTTCTGTTGATCTTCTTTCTAAGAAAGGGTTTTAGGTTGCTTTTGAGTCAAACAATGTAATTCTGTCTAAGAGCGGGATGTTTATGGAAAAAAGTTACTCTTGTGATGGAATGTATTAACTCAGTATTAATAATAAAATTATGTCTTTAGCTTATATTGTTGAATCTTCTTATTTATGGCATGATCGCTTAGCACACTTAAATTTTTGCTACTTGAGAATATGAAAAAATTAGACTTGATTAACTTTAATGGTGAATTTGATTAATGTCAAATCTGTGCTAAGTCTACATTAATAAAGAATTTTTTTCTAAGTGTGTCCTACAGAGATTCTAAAGTTTTAATACATTCTGATATACATGAATTAAATGGCATACTAACTAGAGGAGGAAAAGATATTTTATTACTTCTTTTGATGATTGCAGTAGATATATGTATGTTTATCTTTTAAGAATAAAAGATAAAGCTTTTGACATGTTTAAAAAATACAAAATAGAAGTTGAAAATCAACTTAACAAGAAAATTAAATTGTTACTTTCTGATAGAGGTGGTGAATATTTTCGGATGATTTTAATACTTTTTGGGAAGGACATGGCATTATTCATCAATGCACAGCACTTTATACTCCCAACAGAATGGTTTAGCCAAAAGAAAAACATAGAACTTTACAATAAATGATAAATTGTATGTTTACTAATGTTAAGTTACTTTTAAACTTATAGGGAGAAGCACTTTACACAACATGTTATATCCATAATAGAATTCCCTCTAAAAAGTCAAACATAAGCCCTTATGAGTTATGGAAAGGTAAAGAAAGCCTAATCTGTCATATCTTAGAGTGTGGGGGTGTTTGGCTTATTATAGAGTTCTTTATCCTAAAAGAACAAAACTTGGACCTAGAGTCATTAAAAGTATTTTTACCGTATATGATGAAAACAGTAAAGCATATAGACTATCTGATTTATCTTCTAATACTATTGTTGAATCTAGAGATGTTAAATTCTTTAAAAATAAATTTGCTACAGATTCTAAGAATGTTGAAAATATTCCTATTCTGCCTAGCTCTAGTGATATTCCTAGTTCTGTTTTTCATGCTAAGGAAATTAGTATATCTAAGGAAATATCAGAATTAAGAGGAAGTACTAGAGCAAGAAAAGAGATATCTTTACCTTCGGATTTTATTTCTCTTGAACAAATTATTTTTCTTGTTGAAGGTGATGGGAACAACAATGTTTTGAATAAACGTCCTATAAGTTTTATCCCAGATAATGATCATAAAACCTTTATAAAACCAATGTCATCTAGATATGCTTCATTTTGGAAAGAAGCTATCAATGATGAAATAAATTCTATAATTGGTAATAAAAACTTGGATTTTAGTAAACTTACCTCAAGGATCAAAGCCAATAGATAGTAATTGGGTTTTTAGAAGAAAATACCATTATGATGGTTCTATTCAAGCTTTTAAGGCTAGATTAGTAGCTAAAGCATTAAGACATAAAAGAAGGCATAGATTATTTTGATACATATGCACCTGTAGCACACATAACATCTATTAGTATTCTTATTGCTTTAGCATCTATATATAAATTGTTTGTGTATCAAATGGATGTTAAGGCTGTATTTTTGAATGGATATTTAAATGAGGAGGTTTACATGGAACAACCAAAAAGTTTTATTCTTCTAGAAAATAAAAGAAAAGTATGTAAACTAATTAAATCTATTTATGGTCTTAAACAAGCATCAAAAGTGGCATGAAAAGTTTGATTCTATTATTTTGTCTTATGAATTCAAACATAATAGTGTTGATAAGTGCATTTATTCTAATTCACTGATAAATATAGTGTACTTGTTTGCTTGTATGTCGATGACATATTAATATTTAGCACTAACATAATTTGCATAAATGAGACAAATGAGTATCTATCTTCTATGTTTAAAATAAAAAAATTAGGAGAAGCAGATACTATTTTAGGGATTAAAGTTAGAAAACATAATGGGGGGTTTTTTAAGCTAATCACATTATATTGAAAAAATATTGAATAAATTTAATCATCTTGGTTTTAAAGAATACAACACTCCATTTGATCCTAGCATTTAATTGACTGTCAATTCTGGTAGAGCTGTAGCACAACTTGAGTATGCTAATGCAATTGATTCTTTAATTTATGCTATGAATTGCACTAGACCTATATTGCATTTGATGCATGCAAATCAAGTAGATACACTAGTAATCCAAGTGTAGAACATTGGAAAAGCATTTCCAAAATTTTTGAATATTTAAAGAAATAAAAAATCTTTGTTTGTTCTATAATGATTATTAGGCTGTGTTAGAGGGATACACGGATGCAAGTTGGATGACTAGAGTAGGGGACAACCAATCCACTTCGATGATTTTTACACTTGGTGGAGGAGCAATTTCTTGAGCGAGCAAGAAAAAAACATGTATCTCACACTCTACCATGAAATCTGAGTTTATTACTTTAGCAACAACTAGCAAAGAGACTGAATGGATTAGAAATTTATTACTATATATTAAATTATGGCCTAGTCCAATGCATCCTATTTCTATCCATTGTGATAGTCAAGCCGTTTTGCCAACGCCTTATAGTTGTACGTATAATGGTAAGTCTAGACACATAAGTCTAGGACATGTATATGTGAAATAATTGATACAAGATGGTGACCTAATAATTATCTATGTTAAGACAAATAAAAACTTGGCTGATCCATTTACAACTAGCAAGACAGGTAGTAAAGATGACATTAAGAGAAATAGGGCTGAAACCTTATATTTAAGATCTTTAAGAATGGTAATCCCACCATTTACTAGAATTGAACTGGTTAAAATATTTAAATTAATAGTAACAAGTTTCTAAAAGTGATCAATTGATATTGACACATTAAGCCCTAAAAGATAATGTCAATATCGTCTATTACACAAAAAGAGGATGAGTTTTTGCTCTTAATGAAAGTCTAATATATTAATGTTCTGTGTTTAAAGTAATGGAGAACAAATTATAGACGTTTCACTTAGCTGAACTTAGAAGGGGTGCTGCATCTTAAAAGAGCTAAAGGTTTGCTCTTTAAAGAGTTCATGAACCGAGAATAAGCACAAGGCCATAACAGTACTAAAATATTAATTCTCATTGAAACAAGTGATTAGTGTATGTACAACATTCTCTGGTTCTATCACAAAGAGTAATTAGTTTAATGCTAAGGCAACTAAGGACTTTGATAGAATTTTGAAGTGTTTGTAATAATTAAAGTTTTAAATTGAAAGATACCTCTAGATATGTATATTTAATTATCTTATTTTATACATATTGCAGATTATTTTAAATAAATAATATTTTTTCAAAAGAAATACTTGTTTTTCCAAACAAAGTAGGGGATTGTTAATATTTGTTAGTAAAAACAAGATAGTCCCACATCGGATATTTGAGCATTCTTTTACAGGTTTAACAATATTTAATAATTATTAGGCTTTGATAAATGAATCAAAGAATAGACCTCTAAACCCGCGTGCAAGTAGCACGAATAATGCGCGATTTTGACGCACTGCTTATTTATTATTGTTGTTGTTATTTTAAAATTTTAAATTTATCAAAATATCAATAGACAAGTGACTGTTGGGAGTTATGGTTGTTTTTGACTGTTGGAAAATGACTGTTTCTTCCAATGGGTATTTTAAAAAGTTATAGCTGTTGGAAACATCTTTTCAAACCTATAAATAGTCTATGATTTCAGACATCAATACTCACTTCTTTTCTCAGAATTTTCTCTCAAAAAAATCTGCAAACCCTACAAAATTGTTTCGCAAGAATTAATGGTGGAAAATTCCAGATTTGCTTGTTGGAATTTTTAATTTTCTGTTGTATCTTGGGAAGAAAATTTAGACTAACACGAAGCAAACTTGAATTATTACGTGGGGCAAATATATTTTTAAAAGAAAGTGTTTCACACCTTAGAAATTGTGTCTCTTCATTATTTTAATTAACATCTTTTGTGTCCAATATATATATTTAAAATGGTCAACTACAGATAACCTGCTCGTAGTGTACGTAGGAGGTTGCCCGCTTTAGTTGCTAAATTTTTTGTTAGCACCCAACTCCCTGATGTCGTGACAGAGTTAGCTCTTTGATATTTACAATTGTCGCTTGGGTGTCACATGACATGAATGTATAGCACCAATATCTTCTAATATTTTACTTTGTTGTAAAGAACCCCAATCCTCTTTTGTCATTGGACATACGGCCCCTGTATTGTAAGTATAGATGACGGAGAGATAGCACAAGTATCAGGGGGTCTAAGTGCTAACGAAAAATTAGTTTATAATGTTAACTAACTCCCTATATTACAGGGGTATATCTTCAGAATGACTGAATACGTAATGGACAACTTACTCCGCGAGCGTCACAAAGATCAACCATGGTGCGTAGTCTCTGATGCTTAGGATCGTTCTTCCATTCGGACTTATCTTGAATGTTCGACAGATCGCCAGGGTCCAATGTCCATATATCCAGCCATGTCTTGCATAACACTGCATCAAATTAGTGAATAATTTAAGGTAGCGCCTCTTGATTCATGAATTAGACTATTCCAATTGTTGATGCGCTCCATTCATTGTGATCTAAATGTTTCAAAACATCTATAAAAACAAAAATCATGATGATTAAATGCTTATTGTCTATTTAGTTATATTATCGTAAAACCGTTAATTTTACATTCACTTGATGCACGGGTAACTACAACCCAACATGTCTAATTTTTTTTGTATACAATTGAAAACATATAAAACAAAATGAACGGAGTGGATCGAATAATTTGATAGCATATAATGTAACTTTGAAGGCGCTACCTTAGGTTGAATCTAAGGTGCATACACACACGCACACACATATATATATGCCAAAAACATATATATGTGTGTGTATGGGTATCCTATGTAGTGTCTATTCAATATGCCAAAAAACTAACTTTTTCCTCACTTTTCCCAAATTCAAAAAAACTGAAATTTGGTAAGAAAAGTTTGTTTCTTGCTCAATTTTGCTTTCCCGTCAAGAGAGAGAGAGAGAGAGAGAGAGAGAGAGAGAGAGAAATTCTTATGTCAACTTAAGTGGACCATCCACAAAACTTTTTATACCTTAGATTGAACCTAATGATACACCTTGAAAATTAGATTATATGCAATCAATTTACTTGATCCACTCCGTTCATTTTAATCTATATGATTTGGATGGCATGTAAATAAAAAATTAGGCATATTGAGCTGTTTTTACTAATACATCAAGTGATAGTAAAATTAACGGTTTTTACGACAACACAACAAAAGAGACAATAAAAAATATGTGTTAGATATATTCAAATATCATAATTTTTATTTTGTAGATGTTTTAAGACATTTAGATCATGATGAATGGGGCGAACCATCCATTGAAATAGCCTAATCTATACATTGAAAGGTGCAACGTTAGGTTCAATCTAAGGTAGCACCTTAGAATCATATGTCCATATATATATATATATATGAGAAATATGGAGAACCTTGGTACCAAGTTCTTTCATTGAACTTGGTAGAAAGCTGGCCAAATCTAACCCCTACATCATGCCTCGGAGATGGAGCCTCTTTTTTAAAGTAGGTGAATAGTAATTGAGGCTCTCTCTCCGAGGCATGATGTAGGGTCTTGATTTGGCCACCTCACTACCAAGTTCAATGGAGAAACTTGGTACCAAGGTTCTCCATATTTCTCATATATATATATATATATTATATAATATATATATATATATATATATATTATATATATATATATATATAGAGTAGAGAGAGAGAGAGAGGAAATTGGAGCACTTGTACGCGAACGTTGCTTAAGAGCAACCTTGGTAGTGGATGTGACCTAATATGTCTATTACATCACCCTTGAAGGATCGATAGTGGTCTTAACACGCTTTCACCAAATTCCAATGTAGATGTTATCGGACATGATTAGTCCACATTATACGGCAAGTTTGTTTGGAGCAACTTGGTCCAAGTTTCTCCATTTTCTATATAATATATATATATTATCTATATATATATTATATATATATGTATAATATATATATATATAATATTATGGAAAAGTGAATCTAAGGTGACACCCTAGGCTCCCACCTAAGGACGCAGCCTACAATCACATCATTTTCTAATTTTTTTACGATCCGCTCCGTTAAACTTGATTTACACGTTCTTAAACCCAAACACACCAATTTTGGGGTGAACTTGTCGTGTTTTGACCCTTTATCCACTCGCCATAATTTTAACGGTTTCGAATGAATAGAACTTTTTGCACGGCTCAACGAATGGTCAAAACACAACGGGTTCACCCCAAAATTGGTGTGTTTGAGTTTAAGAACGTGTAGATCAAGTTCAACGGAGCGGATCGCAAAAAAATTTAGGAAATGATGTGATTCTAGGCCGCGTCCTTAGGTAGGAGCCTAGGGTGTCACCTTAGATTCACTTTTCCCTATATATATATATATATATATGGAAATTTCCTAAATCGCAGTCCCGTTGTCCTCCTCATGAGTGACAACCTATTTGTACGTGTTCTGACATAATTTGTACTTAGCATTTCTGCTTGCTTAAAATTCTAAATCTTAAATTTCCTTGGAAGTTCGAATCTGGATTCATGTGTGTCTCTATTAGTCTAGCTAGCTCCAAAAGTTTTTCCCTTGAAGGGTAATAGAATTTGCACAAGTAATAATCATCTTTCAGTATGTATTCTTCTTGTTCGAAAGAGATTTGGGAGGAGGAAATTAAAAAAAAAAAAAAAGGCAAACTGCTAAAACGATACTAAAAATCAATATTTAGTCATCAAAACTCAAGAAATGTATTTATGCTTACGTGGGAGGCTAAGCCATGGCATGACTCCAAGTAGAGTGAGCGTGTACCCGGGCTCAACAACATGCTCAAGAGCCCACTCCAAAGGCTTTGTTGAGAACTCCCTGAGTGCATCCATCACCACCACAACATGCTTACTACCGGCGCTGCTCGCACCACCACCACTACTAGGACGACTGTAACGGGAGCGGTCTGACGACTCTCCCGTTTCTCTACAGCCGTTATCGTCGTTATCCATAAAAGAACTCTATAACGTAATAATAGACCGAAGGATGAGCAAAAGTGTTTTTGCCACCATATATAGGAATGAAGGGGAGCAGAGAACTTAGGAATTGTTTTGGATTTTGATGAGTTCGGAGGATTTGGAACTAACGAGGTAATGAGGGCACATAATCTTTTAAGTTTTGTGAAAGAGTGAAGAGGACAAACGGACGGCTTAGGATTGGATTGAGTGTATCGAGTTGATGGATGAGGCAAGTGGGGATTTCGTCTTTTGATTGATGAAAGTCGAAACATTGTCTTAGTTGAAAGACGTCGCCTATAGTTATCATAAAAACATTTATTACAAAGATGCTGAAGGATATTATGATAAGCGTCATTGAGACCTTGATTAATAATATAAAGGGGTGAGACTGGATCATAGGAAAATTCACAACTGCTCCATCTCTTTTAACTGTATTTGGAGAAAATGCGAGTTAATAGAAGGAACTATGATTGAGAATGAGCACAAATTCAACAAAACCTTGATCAGATTGGCAAAGCAATTAACTGGATGGCAAGAAATTCAAGTCACACCTCAAACAACACAATGAAAAGAATTTTTCCACATAAATGGAAAAACTACATGCAGCGACAAACAAGAAGGGGGTTTCCAAATAGCACAAGCAAATACTAGTCTGATCATACCAGTTCAGAGTACAGTTTATTCCAACAAAAAAAATAATGCCTGATTGTTTCATCAAACTGCTTTCAAAAATTCCCCCAAATTAAGCTCACCGTTTACAACAGCTTATGAATTGTTTTCATGTCTTCAACCTCCTGAAGAGTGCCCTTCTCAACATGATCCCACCATTTGAGCAGGAAGTTGTCAACAACCAGCCTGAACCAAGGAGACAGCTTAATACCATCCTCTCCAGCATCAGCTTTCCTCAACAACTCCTTCAATTGTCCTCTATTGACGTACTTAACATCAGCAACCTCGTCTGGGTTTGGTTGCATATTGACATCTTGAATGATGAAAAGCAAGTAATCAACTGCAAAGTAAAGGGAAAAAAGGATCAGTAACAAAGATGTTGAGATATAAGAAGAACAAGCGATTCTGCGAGTGCTTACGCTCGTGCTCTCCCCATTTTCCATCGGATGGGGCCTTGTAAAGCATGCGACCAAGAGGCATGAATTCATCAACAGGAACGTCAGCAGCTTGTATACCAAGCTCATCTAGTAACTTCCTTTGAGCAGCATTTCGAACCCCTAATAAAATGGCAATGTAGTTTAGTTAGAAGTTCTCTATAAGTGAGAAGATCACCAGTACTATATGTATTTAACACTGAAAACTAGAAATACCGAGGTAGTTCTCCTGTATAAGCTCAGAATCGCGGTAAAGCGGATGGCTGCAGCAGGTGTTGGTCCATACTAAAGGAAATGTCACCTTGGTCGCTGATCTTTGCTGAATAAAATATGGAAATAACAGTAGTTAACATAAATTAGTCATTATGGTGAAACTACGGCAGCTTCAAATTGTTAAATTTTACCATTTATTGGCAAACACATGAAACGGCAATGACGGCCAAAGCAAATTAGAGTGGGCAAGTCATGGAATCAAACTTCATTACCAGAAAATCCATGAACCAACATAGTCGCACCAAGGAATTAACATGAGGAAATAATGGAATATATTATGAATACAGAATCAAACTTATTATTTGCCACACAGTTTCATTTAGGGAATTAATTGTGTACTATGAGTTAATTATGGGTTTAAATAATGACATCCAATTTAGTTTGTGTACTGGTAAACAATGCTCTTTAATGCTGAGATGCAGAAAACACATGAGCTACGATAGCCACCAGTCAAGCACCAACTAGTACTTGCAGCTCCAAAGGCGTTTGCAACTAATAAACATCAGAGGAAGGAGGACCCAGAGAAGGATGGAGAACAAAGCTGAAGAAATGAAAAGAAAGCTCAAAGCTATATTATCAAGTTCACATCTTGATGAATTATCTTTTGTAGCTTTTGACAACTAATGACCTATTCATGTTAGAATAATTTTCTAGCAGTAGTTTAATTTACCTAAAATTGATGTAGGTAGGACTGTCCATTCTCAGCAGATAACATAGCCCTTTCCAATAGGTTACAATTTACTTGAAAATCTGAATAAATGACTATTCACCATATAAAGGTATGTAACAACTAAGGATTAAGGAATATACCAAATTGGAACTCTAAAAGAAAATTAAATGACATCCAAAAAGAGGTGATACAGGTTAAGAAAATTACAATCAAAACCCTGAGAGCAAACATAAATAACATATAGGGCCTACAAAGAAAACCTAAAATTTGAGTTGATGTTGTGTTTAAAAATGTGTGCCATCATGTTGTAACATTATAAAGTACTTATTGGTTTCTCATATTGTGAGGTTTCCCATATGTCCAACAATAAGTTTCCCCAGAAAAGTATCCAGAACATTACAAAGGAACAATTCTCTAAAAGTTTCAATGTAATTCTCAAATTTTCAAGAATAGATTTTTCAAGTCCTAGAAACTCTTTGGAGGAAACAAATTTCATGGGTTGTAATTCTGTACAAAACTTTCTGGCAACTATGTACTTGATATTGACATTTAAATGGGCTATAGGCCATGCAGGGTGAAATATGACTCAGTACATTGTACGTGACCCTGCACCAATCTTCTAGGATGTATTGATAAGCCTTCATCCTACTTTTACATGTATAAGCTCTATCACAATTGAACGATATTTGTGAATTTGCCAAATATTTTCACTTTATATCTGACACAAACTGTATTAAAAAATGATAGGATGGGTACAAGCTCTACTAATTCATCACAGAAATTCGATTAGCTGCTTAATCATATAATAAGAAAGGATAACTGCATAATCTCAATAATGACTCTGAACATTCTATAATTATTTAAATGAGTAATATCATAGACCGTTGAAATAAAAAAGAACAATATGCCTACCAAAATAAGACTCTTTATATCTGGAATTGAATATATGGAAGTTAAAAGGCCTAGAAGATACATCTCAGCAAGATAAGGGTCCACTTTCACGCGTTAGACAATATATTTTTTTCTAGTTGATTCGTACCTCTACTTTAAACAAAAATACTTATCTTTTGAGCAATATCAATTCAATTTCCAACAATAGACGAAACAGTTACATCATGTACCTGAAGTAGTAACTCATATTTGGTGTTGAACAGGAAAACACTAAAAGCCCTGTGAAGCAGATTCTTGGATTCAATATTTTCCATCAGATGACCTAGAGTTTTCACAGGAGCTCAGTAATAGCGAAGAAATAATGAATTTGTAAAACTTTTTAAACTAGGATGATGAATTCTTTGTTTGCCATTAAGCAATCATTATGTTAGCAAACAACATTTAGCACGCAAGGTGACAAGCATTAAATGTATGAAATAGACAACTATAAGAAGTTTAAAGTGCAAATAGAATAATGCTCAAAAATTGTATTAAACAGAAAGGAAACGTCAAGATAAGCAGTGAAAGAAAAAGAATATAACTGAGTACATAAAAACAATATTGATCACAATTTCCTAGGGATGTGTTTTAACCTTCCAAAATAAAACAATATCATATTTCCAGACTAATAACAGGAAACAGCGTATGCATAGTTTCTATTTCAATATAATCCCAATAATTTCTACACATATCCATTACATCACTTGGTCTTCTATTTTTAAATGAGCATGACAGCATTCACATATATGTGAATCCATGCACGAAACACATTCAACACGCACGAACAAGTTCAACGTGCTCAAAACACATTCAACACACATGATCATGTAACATCTGGACATACACCACGGCCTAAGCATGAATGAATGATGGATGTCTCCCATCTAAAAGTTAATGATCCCTATCTGTCGAACAAGACAAACAGGCAATCTCCACCATTCCCACTTGTTGGAAATTTTTTTATTTACTTAAAGGATATCGAGTAAGTTGAAACCAGTTATGCCTATCCTGGAAAATTTTAAAATATATTCATTGATATTTTCTCCTTTAGGTACTCTAGAAGAATGCTGAAATTAATACTTATCTCCTTTTAGTATTCGGTACTCCAATATGCTTGCAGAAAACTACATACTAGTTTTCATTGTATCTGGACATTTAAAGACACCTAAGTCGATCGAGACTTGAGTCCAAATATGTTCTTTTTATTATTCAATAAACACATACACGCGTGCGCACACGCACATAATAAAGATAGATATGCATGCACATAATACATATACATATATACATGTATATTTATATGTATATATGTGTGCGCTCCTCATGTCTTGATCATCATTAACTTTTTCCTCAAATTATGCTCAATAATGTTAACAAGACTATTACTGTAGCCTCTCATAAATGCTATGACTTCTAAGTAACTGCAGTTTTTCGCTGCAAGGAAGCCAACCATCTTGCTCAATTGTCTCAGTGTACCAAGCACACACCTACTACTGTCATGAAAGAGCTATCTCTATTATGTTATTCATGAATATGACAAAGTTTGTCCTCCTTTTAAACTCAGTTCTTTGACAAGTTTTGGGAGCACCTAAGCTATGGCCTGCTTATAGCTAATCACACCGTGTCACATATATGCTGCCAGCTTAAGCATAGTAATGGATGAGCAAACAAGTTAGGTCAAACTATATCGAATGAAAACGCGATATCCAAATCCATCCCACATGAAACAGTGAGGATAGAATTTTGAATCTTTGGGGTAAAAAACCGTCCTCACCTGATGTCTCCCTTCAACCTTTCTCTTTGCTGAAGAATTGTAAATCTTACACCTTAGATTATGCAGAACCAATCTCCTTATAAAAAATTTAAGTGCTAAAAAACCATTGTATACCACTTAAGCGCCCACCTTGGCGCCTTGCTAGGTCCAGTTCCCAGAAGCACTCGCTGTTTCTAATATATTGCTAGAAAAGAAGTAAAAAAGGTAAAAAGATGGAACAACCAAGACCTGTTAATGGATGCCCTCAGCAAGACACTATGATCAAGAGAGTCTAATTCAATATCATTTCTTGTTATTTTAGTTTAGCGGGATTGCAAGCTAGCACTTCAAATTCAAAGCACAACTGAAAATATACTAATAAACAGAAAAGTGTTCTACTTAAACATCTTTAGTTGGATACTAAAAAATTTGCATAATTCTAGAAACAAAAAGCTAATTAATAAGGCCAAAGCAAGTAAACTTAAAGGTGGATTACATACTTCAATTTACATAACAATCTATATGCAGGTCATTATCCTTTTAAAGTGTTCTCAAAAGCCAAGGTCACTAAGCAATGCCTATGGTTTTGGTCATGCTAGGTATGTCTATCTCTTCCAAAAGTTGCCGTATAAATCAACCCAACCTGATGCTCAAAACTAGTCCTATAAAGTAATTATAATAATTAGTTGTCATCCAAGAAGCATAACAAATTTTGTTAGGTATGTGGATCTCTATAATAGCCAATAAAAATCAACTAGCTAGCTCTCACAGATTTTTTTCCTCCTCTCTCAAATACTTCTCCTATAATTTTCAGATATGCTGAACCAAGAACCAGGTGCTTTGACAGCCCAAACGAAATTCCGCAAGTGCTTTAACTGCTGAACAAAATTTCACACAGTAAAATGTTTTTTTCTTCATTGTATGTTCTTCTGGTTCTTTTCAGTCTTATTCTTCTAGTTGTTCTCTTTTTCTATTCTTTCCATCTAACATATTACATATTTCCCAGTTCTTCAAATTTTCTTTTCTAGTTGCCATTTGAGATGCTTTACATACTATACTCTTCTACTATATAACTTTTCTACATCTTTCTGCTCTTTTTTTTTGTGAGAGTAAAATTTATACGTCTCTTCATTGAATAGGGTGAAAAATGACACCGAATTGTGTATTCGAAATCGAAATTGGTCATTTTTACAGAATTTGAATTTGATTTCGGTTATATACCTCTTACATTGTATGTATTATTGAATTTTCTCTCTAAAGTAAACTTAATCCTATCGAAAATTTTATTACTTATTATTAATTGGAATTTTTCACATACACCGCTTACATACGGCAGTTGGTTTAATTGAGAGTAAACCTATTCGTGAATATTTGATGGGGCAGTTGGTTTAATTGGATATTCCCAGTTAGGTGTTCTTGGGTTGGAATCCCCATGGGCACACATTTTGTTCTTTTATTATTTAATTGGACTTCTCCACATACACCCCTTGCATTGTATATATTATTGAATTTGCTCTCTAAATTATTAAACTTAATCCCATGGCTTTGCAAACTTTATTATTTATTATTTAATTGGAATTTTTCACATACACCCCTTACATTGTATGAATTATTGAATTTGTTCTCTAAATTAGTAAACTTAATCTCATCGTTTTGTAAACTTTATATGATGTGTGGAGCTTGTAATAAATTAAATTTAGTGGAAAATGCGAAATATAAATGAATATTTAATAATTAGCCGAATCGAATATACCTCTGGTTAAATTATATTTTTTTATGAACCAAATACTAAAAATATTCATTTACTGTTAAATGAACTACTGAATTGAATATGACCGAATATCTTAACGAAAAATAACTAAAGTATTTGTTAATTATTTGGTTCATTTCCAGCCCTAGCACAGAGTATAGTTCACTATGACATTTAGGACCAGGACTAAATACCATAAGCATGCATTCACGTTAACTTTAGAAGTACCTAATTAAAAGTTCATGAGAAATTAATTATCCAAAGAATTAAATTAATCAATCAATAAATTGAATGACAGCTAAAATAGACCAGCCCAATTGGATACAATCATGGAGAAATTCGAAGACCCATGACCCAGCATTAGATTCTCAAATTTACCATTCAGATCATTCCCATTTCCCACTTGACAAAGGAGGACAAAATATAAAGAAGTGGAGGTAAGAGGTGGGAAGACGGAGAATAAATGTTTTATTATCTCTCCTGCAAAATGCCAAATCAAGTTTAGTCACATAAGTAAAGAAGAGGGGTACTAGGAGAACAAGTTTGGTAGAGTTAACATAGGGGATGAGATAAGAGGTAGAGAGAGTAATGAAAAGGAGAAAGGACCCTGTAGTGATACGAATGGGCTAAATTTTCATCTCAAGTCCAACTTAGGGAGAATGAAGGCATCAAAGATTTGTAAGCATTAAGTTACAAACAGTGAGAGACTAATATCAAAACACTGACTCATAGGGAACTAATATAGAAAACTAGAAATATGACAATCATTACGAACTAATATCCACAAAAACTTTATAATAAATATAATAAGTCCCAAAATAACACTCCAAAAGAGCTCCCTCATTAATTGACATTGCATAGACAGCATATTATTTTTAATATGTTGAGCTTGAAATTTTGGCGGAATATTCATCTGCAAGATGAACAAATTAGAGTCATTAGACACCAAGAATTGGAAGGATACCTCTATATCAACAAACGAAGTTGTCAGAATAAGCCAGTATCTAAGCCAGTATCAACCAAAGATATCAAAGAACGTCCTAGATAAGTGCCCACACAGATTCATTACAAAACTAAAGACAATAATACCATGTAGATATCTATTTTCATCATGCCTAAGTTTCCAAACATACTGCTAGGGTTTAGAGCTTTTAGGAATGTCTGCATCCTTGCCAGGTGTTCCTCGTGAAAGTCAAAGCCATGACGGAGAGCATAGAGCACTGCCAACAAAGGCTATTATAGGAAGACATCCATACAGAGAAAGAAGAAAGATTTGAACGACAACAGATTATTAGTGTTGATAGATTTATCCAGTTTTAAGTTCAAACTGGGTAGTTTCGCATCACATAACCAGATCAAGAAACAGAGATCCAACTGGCAAGAAGCAACCAACATTAAATAAGTAGCAAGAAACAAGAAATGCTTTCATGCATAACAACTTACTTTTTTATGAACCCTATTCTTTTAGTCCAAAGTAAGAACTAGGTGAGAAATGTAAAAGGATACAATTATGCACGGCTTCTCTTAAAATTTTTGACACGGCATAACCACAATAGCAATACTCATGCAAGTATCAAAAGGAAAATGTATGGCAGAACATGTGGTGAAGAAAAATTGTGAAAACAACTTAGGCAAATAATGTCAAATAATTTCAGTGAAACTTTTATGTCCAACAAATTGCGTTAAATAGGCATACCAATTACTTGCACAACAAAGCATATACTATGCTATTTCTATCTATTACTAAATGCATCTAAATCAAACTATCAATGACTAGAAATCATAAGGACCAAGCCTGCCTTCTTTCTGTTAAGATAAAACTAACATATACGGTAACCACAAACATAATGTCAAAAAGCAATCATTCTCATGTAAAAGACTGAATACATCTAGAACGGCGATCCATTACATACAGTTGTATTTCGATTCATGGCCAACAACATTGTCTTGCTCATCCACCAAAATACACCTGCATAGCACAGTAATCAAACTATTCAGTTTCCAAATGTGTTACTTGTATCAGTATGATGCTTGTCGAAAATGTTACAAATTAAATATAAACAATGGAAATTTGCACGTCGCTATTATTACTCAAAATTATGATGAGGATCGATGGTCAAATTTTAATACTCTAACAAGAGTAAACAGCAAAAATTGCAAAGAGGATGTAGGATTTCTACTGTCAAATCTCCAAAAAAAAAAATCTTTGAGTTACGAATTGTTTGAATAATGCTCTCCCGGTCCAACTTTTTCTATTTTGAGCATCAAAGTTGGCAGAGATCCATGTGACTCATCTATTACCCAATCAAAATCTTATCTTTTCATCGAGTCCTTGTCGAAAATTGGCATCATTCAGATCTCATTAAGAACATAAAATCCTTAAAAATTCAACGGAATTTACAAAGATTAAGGTGAAACTCACTCGTCCTCAAACATGAGGCGCCTCTGAACAGCATCCATGCTAGTGTCCTCGCCGGAGGCGGCGGGGGCGCATTCATGCTAGTGTCCTCGCCGGAGGCGGCGGTGGCTGCGGGGTTCTCCTCTTTCTCCATGGAAGCGGCGGCGGCAGCTGCGGGGTGCGGCGGAGCGAAGAAAGAGAGGCCGAGATCTATGAACGAGGAAGGAAAAGATGGAGCTTGTACTGGTTATTAGTAATGTCGCTCTTGAGATTGGATTCTTCGTAATATAAGAATACAATATATATAATCTGAATACAGAAAAATAAATAAATAAATAAAATAACAAAAGGAAAGAGAAAATGAGGAGAGGGATCTAAAATAATTGATTCGTTGAATGGGATTAATGCGGATTGACATTAATATAATATATTTATTTTTGTTTTCGGTTGACACGTGCGTAGTGGTTCGTTTTTGGTTCGCGCTATCTAAAGAATAAATGTATTATTAATTTAAATTGTCGTGGTCTCGGCATTTGCTCGTGGGTCTCGTGGGTGGTTTTTTACTCTTCGGAAGAGGAAAATTCTCCCGTTCATTTGAGGGCAATGCGTGTGAGTCTGCATTTGAGTTTGAGGACTCATTAAATGCTTATCTATATCATGTACGGATCGTTTCAAAACACCCTATATACGAAGGACTAATTTTTATCATTTACAACCGGTTAGAGGATTAATTTGAAAATTACAATTTTTCTATTTACAGCATAGATCACCACAATCCTATATAGGGATAGTTCATTAAATTATTTAATTAACGAAAGAACTTGCAAGATCGTTGTGACCAAATTGTTTGCAATAAATGCTACAACTTTTTTCCGTAGAACCATATCGAATTATCATACACAAAGATCTTGTTTTAAACCAAACACTAGAATTAAAAATTTTTATGTATGAGATGCGTTATAACTTATAACTCTAATGGAAAAATATCCCAAGAAGAAATACTTGTGATTTTCACGTTAGATTTTTTTTTTTTTTTTGAGTGAACAAATTATATAGCTTGGATTAATATAATCATGTTAATACGTGGCTCACATGTGTATAGTGGCGATCGGTTGAGTTCTCTTTATTTGATTGCGCAATGCTAGCCCACGCGCGCGTGAGCTCCACGCGCCTGTGGCTAGATCTCCTCCTTTTGGAATTGATTAGTGCATGGCTCATGGATTTTTTAGGTTGATCACATGGATTAGTTTAGGCAAAATTTCAGAAAACCCCCTATACGACTTTTTTTTTATACATCGCCTAACAACGTTAAGTGCTATTTTTCACATGGGTGGATAAGCTTACAAAGCAAGATATTTTTTCCGGTTAAAATTATACTTCACGCTTTTAGGGTTTGCAAAAAATATTGTTGAAAGTTAAACAGTGTTTCTGATGACCCCTAAATTTAAGCGGGGTTTTTCTAATATTTTGAAAGTTCTAAAGGGCTATCTAATAATCATCCAATGTTAAAAGGGGTTTTCTGAAATTTAGCTTATTTTCAACTCGTTAAAACAATTTAACGGTTAACTGGTAACATAAAAAGATACAAAAGAACGTTTAGTAACTTTTGTTACTACATCCTACTTAAAAAGTCAATTTAGTTTCACAAACTTAGACAATTGTACACTGCAATTTCAAATAACTCCTTCTAGGAATTATCCTCAAATCAATATGAGTATCCAGACAACTGCTGTATGCAAATCATAGTATGCTGCCACCCCAATCATGAACGAACATGAACTCGGATAATCTCTTCTAAATCACATAACGATGAAGAATCATGTTTTCTAAAGCAAAACAAAAATTTTACGACACATAATTAAAGCAAAACTTGTGTCAACTTAAGTGGATAGCAAAAAGTTATCCACCAAACTTTTTAGCCACTCATATTGCCTACGGATCCTTACATAATATGAAAAGGTTTTTTATATTAATAAATGAGTGGTTAGGAAGTTTGGTGGACATCAACTTAAGTTGATAGGAGTCTTACTCCACATAATTATACTAAATAAAGTTAATCGTCAACCATTTGAATAAGGATTATCAGCAAATTAGAGAACAAATTAAACGTACATTAAAAACTGCATCAACAACCCAAGTGTTCTCTAAACCGTGAGTCTAACCCTCCATATTTCACTAATAAGAGTTAATAAATGAAATATTTGCAGCCACCAAAACAATATGTCCCTTAACTCTTACAAAAACTACACACAAGCAAGCAATTGTCTGTAAGGAGACTAAAAAATAAGAACCCCCGCCGTGAGAACACGTAGACATCTGAAAAGCAGCGCAAAGCAACTTCCATTCTAATAGACAAAACCAAAATTCGGGCCGATGAATAACAAAAACATCCCCGCCTCCCTCTCCCCCCCCCCCACGCCCCAACGCCACAGCCGACAATACATACTCTATCTGACCCTAAGTCTTACAATCCTTATATATCGCACTTATAACCATATGCTACTGAAAGCTTCTTCAAGCGCCCTCTTCTTACAAATCTGCAGCATGTCCAACCACCAGCTCTCGCCGCTCTCATCCTGCTCTCAGCTTCGATACCCTCCTCGTCATCAGCTGCATATGCGCCTGAAGGAGGATGCGATACGGCCTCCCAATTGTGCGAGAGGTGGGGTCGGCCTGGCTGCCGCAAGTACACTCCCTGGTACAACACTAGGAGCGTACTGACCTTGCACAGTGACACCACCAGTAGCCCCTTGAGAAGTTTGAGCAGCGCCCTGGATGATTAAAATCAGACGTCATTGATGCATTTAAAATAGGGTTGTAGTTATTTAATTATCATTGTTCAGTTTGTTAGCACATACATCCCCTGGTCTCGTGACAACATGTTCTCTCGTTAACCTTAGAATTAGATGTTTGCTCAGAACATTCCCATGTGGTTCTCCGCTGAATTTAAAAACTAACGGGAAATAACATTGTCACAGGACAGTGGATGGTACATGAATAAAAATAGAATACAAGTTATAAGTAGATGTAACCCCATAATACAAGGGGCATATTTGCAAATAATCATCAAAACAAATTGACTCAAGGTAGAAAAGAATTTTGGTCTTGAACTGCATTAGAAATCATAGTCATCCAATCATCTGGAACAAAAAAACAGAACAGGAGGGCCACTGAGTGATTTGTCAGTCGCAATGTGATAGTTTCTATCTACACAGAAATTTGAAAATCAAGCCTAAAACCAGATTTTCTTGCAAGTCCTGGCACAGTTGAGAGTGATTACTGAAGAAAGCAGTGCTTTTGATGCCAAGTGAAAATGAACGGCAGATGTAAGAGTGGAAGTTTGAAAGTGGAAGGATACCATAAGTTTGTTGGAATCTTGAGAAAAGTAATTTTGTCAATCATGGATCTGGCTCATTACTTTTTTATACCTTTTTTCTCTTTTCTAGAGAAAAAAACATACCGAATACATGTTGTAAAGCGTGAATTCTAACTGATGCCTGGACTAGCAACAAACAGGGCGACATGGCAATGGCAAGAGAAAGGATGCAATGATGATACCAACTCAGTGTGAGTATATGCATGTGCATACATGTGTGCATGTCTACATATTTTATCGGCTCTCAATCGCTGCCACCTTATGGGCTGCTTGGCAAATTGAAAGTGAATTGAAAGTGCGAAAGTTATTGTTTTTACAAGTGACTTTCACATCTGTGTTAGCATGCAAGTGAAATACAATGTTTGTTTGCCAAAAAAATTTATTGTTGAAAGTATAAAAATGAAAATGACGTGGCAAAATAAGATTTATTAATAAAGATAATATTCTTGTATTTGATTAAGAAAAATGATTCTTTTAACAAAACATCACCATGATGTTATTATCCATTACTCTGCTATTTTTTACAAATTATTTATATTTTATATGTATTACATATTTAATTTGTAATTATTTTTAATAGTACAATAGTTATGTTATGTCTAAATAGCTGTGTTGCATAATAATACAATTACATTATAACCATGCTACAATTTTGTTGATCTTGATCTGAAATTTCTGGAGTTCCTGTTAAAAAATAATAGATCGAAGGGAATGAAGTGAAGAAGATTTGAAGAATAGAAATGAGACATGAATAAAATAGTTCTGGTTGGATAGGCACTAGAGGGAAGAAGACGTGTGGCAGGGAAGAAGTCGCTAGGCGGTTGTTGCGAGAAAAAGAAAATTATATTAAATTTTAAAAATATGTTAGAGAAGGTGGAAAATCTGACTTTCAAGAGACTTCAGTACATTTCTCGGGGAAGTAAATTTTGCATTAAATCTGATGTGGCACCTTTTTTTGCATTTCACTTTCATTTCCTCTTTCATTAAAACAAACACTTAAAAGTGTCAAAAGTATTTCACTTTCCCACTTTTATTTTCCACTGCGTGCAAACAAAAGCTTCCTCAGTTTATTTGTTGTTTGATGAGGCTTCATCCTAATACTCCAACTCGAATGTAGACCATCCAAGAGTGCAATAAGAATTGTGGTAATGCTAAGAAAAATTTGTTTGCCCCTATAGTGTCTAAAGGCTTAAAATCCGAGACTCCAAGTAGCAAATACTATTCGAATGAAAAAAATTCGCAACAACTTGTGTGTATAATCAGTAAATTTCAAACCAATGATCTCTGTCGTTGAGAACAGTTAAAACAAGGGCTCTACCAACAGTCCAAAATTCTCTTTCTAAATGTATACTACAACTACCGCTGGTGTTTAAAACGCTAATTCATGGATACCATAACCTCAACAACCACGATGGTCTACATGATTCAGAATAATATCCATGAGCAATGGTCTACATGATTCAGAATAATATCCATGAGCGCTGCTAAAGATTGCAATGTGGTAACAAAATGTTGATCTAACTAGAATTACACATAATATAATCAATTAATCATCGATACCATAAAGCTAAGTTCATGGAGGCATGAAGCATGTCATGAATTGGGTAGAGAACATGTTGCATGGAATCACCGCTGCAATACTTTAAGTCACTAAACTTTATGCAGTCTTTTTCATATTACTGGCATATTTGATCCTGTTTAACCCAAAGAGACAAAATAGGTTGACATTTGAGCTGTATGGCTCGAAAAATGGTCAGTGCAGGACTAGATATCAGTGATATTATAAACAGAAATATGGTTGATGTAAGCCGATGCTAGCTGAAACTGATAGCATATAGCATGCTCCAGTTTGTTTGCCTTTGAAACAGAAAATGCTACAATAAATACATTTTCCCTAACAACAGGTATCCATCTTGTGTATACTTGACGCATAGCAGGAGAAATAAGAACATTTCAATCTGGGTTTTCAGTCATTCTGATGTTGTGAACCAAGTTGGACGAACTGCAAATCACGGGACTTGATTATGAACGAATTGTTTCAACATCCTGAGGAATAAGTCCATTGATGCATCATATATATCTTTTTGTGTGTGTTTGCGTCCATGTGACATTTCTAGCAAAAAAGGTTTGATGTAGTGTTTTATATGCTAAAATTAAAACTTGCATTTTTAAGAATGGACTTTGATTCATAATCTGACTTATTTTATCAAAGCGTAATTTGACAACCTTTCTAAGTAAACACTATTTGACAACCTTTTTAAGTACACAGATAAAGGTAAATGTGAAGACGTGGTTGATGAGCATAAAAAATGTGTTCTGAAAATGTCCAGTATATCCCTGTCACGACATATGTTCCAGCATTTCTGCTAAGTAGAATACATTTATGAAAAGAATCTACAATCGATCTGTCAAAAAATTTACCAGCATATTAGAAAAGAATTAAATCAATTAAAATTCAGCTCATGTGATTTCTGAGCGAAAGATGCTACAAGTGCATCTAGAACAATAATCACCCATGTAAAATTAGACTTCACGTACTAGATTTTTCTTAAAATACATTCTTCTCTATTTTCAAGGTTATCCTCTTGTTTCCATTTAAAAAAAACTATCCTCTTGAGAAGACTATCATCTTGTTCTTCTCAAATCAACCA